CCCCCCCCCCCCCCCCCCCCCCCCCGCTTGTTTAGGGGAAGAGGCAAAAGCCAAGAGAAGATCAGAACAGAGCCCCGCTTCCCTAAAGTCCGATCTTTCACTTTTTGCTTTTGCTGTAATATATTTCCCTCCGCCCCCTCCCCGAAAATAAGTATTTTTTTCTCCCCAAAAGGGGGAAGGTGACAGGTGCTCATTCAAAGCTGCTGACCGTTAGGTGGCCGTTCCTTCATTTCCAACCCTAAACTTAACACCAGGGCATGCTGTGGTACGCAGTGACAATAAATAGTTCTTTCAACACACCCCCCTCCCCTGAAGTCTTAGTCCGGTTACCCAAAGCTGGGTAGCCAGAAGAGAAAAACGGAAACAGCAGGGTGGAAGACGCTCACCCAGAGAAGAGCATTTTTCATGTGGCTTGAAAAGGGAGAGGAGCGCGAAACTCTGGCCCTCTTTCTCAACCGGGGAGACCCCCTTCCCCTACCAGAATGCCCGACGAAAGAGAGCAGCACCTAGCACAGAGCCGCAGGGTTGTGGAACAACAGTCACGAAAGCGGCATCTGTGAGCCACAGGCCCCCAAGGCGCCTTCCCCAAAGAGGGCTGACAGTCCCAGATTCTCTGTCCGGCTCCAAACAGGAAACGCTGAATCAAAACATGCCCCCCCCCCCATGCGCATACCTCCCCCTCTCCCACCTGCAATGACACCTAGTTCAGCAAAAGTCTCAGCCCCCCACCCCACCCGACCTCAAGCCCAACAGGTGAGATAATTTCCTGGATTCAGAAAAAAGCTCAAGCAGAGAGAAGGAAAAAAGGGGAGCCCCCCCCCCGAAAGCAATGTAGACTCAAAATATATTTTGTTTTCAGCTTTTCTGCACCGACTTCCTGCACTTGGGTTGAAATGCACAAACCTCATTCCAAATATGATGGTTTGTTAAATTAAAAAAACAACAACCACAACAGACGCACCGAGAGAACAAATGAATGCGTTAACCTCTAGCTGGTAGGGGGGGGATCCAGACTGGGTGGGGTACGAAGGGGAGACATGGGGGGGGGGGCGGGGGACTAGAAAAGACGAGAGTCTCAGAGCGGCTTACAAACTCCTTTCCCTTCCCCTCCCCACAACAGACACCCTGGGAGGTAGGTGGGGCTGAGAGAGCTCTGACAGAAACTGCTCTTTTTCAAGGACAGCTCTTGTCAGAACTATGGCTTGCCCAAGGTCATCCAGGAGGTGCAAGTGAAGGAGTGGGGAATCAAACCCGGTCCTCCCAGATTAGAGTCCGTGCACTTAACCACTACCCCAGACTGGCTCTAAACACTAAATGTTTCGGGCCAACCACACTGAATTAGAATGCATTTAAAACACAACCTAAAGCTTTGGCGGAAAAGGGGCACTGGAAGTGGAATGTGGATTCCTGGGGGTCCCCCGTTTCCTCTCGTTTGAGTGGAATAAACTCCTGGCCCCTTTGAGTGCAAAACGACAGGTTTTCTAAGCGCCAAATTTCGATCGCCCAAGGATCCAACAGGAAAAGGAGGGGCTTGCCCAAAGCGAGGGAGACGCTTCCAACCGGCTTCAAGGGTCAAAGTCCAACCTGTGTAAGAGGCCCAACCGCACCTATCCTCCCATGCCCCTCCCCAAAAACACAGCCCGATGGCGCCAGGAAATGCTTGCCAAGGTGGCCGAGACCAAGTTCAAAGATAGGAGCTGGCCAGGAAAGGAGTCGGGCCGATCCCTTTATCTCGAAACTTTTTTTTTATATTGCTGCCGGCACACCTGGTGCCTTTATTTATTCACTACTGATTGTATTACTGGTTTTTTTTACCCCTCTCTTCCTCCAAGAAGCTCGGGGCAGTCTTCCCCTCCTTCATTTTGTCATCCCAACAACCCTACGAGGTAGGCCAAGCTGTGAGAAAATGGGATGGTCAACACGGATGCCTGCAAGATTCACAGCAAACATGAACTGGAACCCGTAGCTCCTCCAGATCTCGCCTGGTACACAGCGGCGGGTGACACACCACACGTTGAGATACAGAAAAAACCGAAGCCGGGAGTTCCAAAAGGATTTCAGGCCCTGTTCAACACCATGTCCCCCTGGCATTTTGGGGTCCTTTGCTTTGCGCTGCCTCGGCTTTTTCTGCCCTCCTCCTGGCCCCTTCCGAAATTTCAGTAAACAGCCAAGGCCCAGATTCCACTTTGATGACAACACAGATTCTCAGCATCCCACGACCACCTTAAACCTTCCCGGCAGCAGATCTGCAGACGTTCCGTGATGTCACAGAAGCTCAGCGAATGGGAGCAGGGACGGGGTGAGTCATTTTGCTGCCCCTGGGATGTTCTACCCATTATTATGCCTTAGCAGAAAACCACGCCACTTACCGAGGAGGGGAGTCCCGGGGGCACCTTTCGGACCTTCTTAGGCTGGCCATCTGCATTTGGGGAGAGGGGGGGAAAAACATTAAAAAAAATTAAGAACCCAGTTTGCGTAATCTCAGTGGCAGATTTCGAAGAGCCGTTCTCTTAAAGAGGCAGACCTGGCTTTGTGTTCAAATCCCACCTTGCAGCGAAACCTCTGAAATGAGAACAGGCTTCCTCCGTGCCCAGCCGCGGACCTGGAATGGGCTGTCAGCAAGACGGCTGTACCCCAGAACGTGTTGACTAAAGCAGAGGGTCTTCTGAGCAAGTGCAGAGTGCCTTTCCCTCACCACTAAGCACCCACAGTCCATCCCGGTATGCTTAGAATTAAGGAGCGTGGTTTCTCTCCAGGACAGACGGTGGAGCTCTCACACAGCCCCCGGCTCCAATGAAGCCCTACTTGACTCGGCTAGCACACAAGTCAAATAAGATATGGGATGGTAGAATGTTTTTGGTACAACAAACTGGAAAGGGGAGAAGGGTCAAGGGTGTGATCCAGTTTCAAGGAGCGGCTGGAAAGGAAAGAACTGGGTTCAGATTCCTTACTCAGCCATAAAACTCCCAGGAGGTCTTTGGGTCAGTCACGCCAGTTTGGTATAGTGGTTAGGAGCGCGGACTCTAATCTGGGAGGACCGGGTTTGATTCCCTGCTCCTTCACAGGCAGCTGCTGGTGTGACCTTGGGTCAGTCACAAGCTCTCTCAGAGCTGTTCTCGAGAGAGCTCCCTCAGCCCCACCTACCTCGCAGGGTGTCTGTGGTGGGGAGGGGAAGGGAAAGGAGATTGTAAGCCGCTCTGAGACTCCTTCGGGTAGTGCAGGGCGGGGTATAAATCCAATCCTCTCCTCCTCCTCTTCCTCCTCCTCTTCAGCTAACCTACCTCAAAAGGTTGTTGTGAAGATAAAACAAAGGAGCTTCTTGGAGGAAAGGCAGGAGGGAAATGAGAGACATTTAGTTTTGTTTAAGCTATTTATGTCCTGCTTTTCTCCCCAGTGGGGACCCAGAGCAGCTGACATCCTCCCCCTCATCCCTGCCACTCTATCCTCACGACAACCCTGTGAGGCAGGCTAGTCTGAGAGGGTGTGACTGGCCCAAGGTGACCCAGCAAACTTCCCTGGCAGAACGGGAGATTCAAACCTGGACCTCCCAGGTCCCAGTCCGACATGCTAACCGCTATCCCACGCAAACCGGAACACAATTGAAGAGCTAAAAAAAACCATCCCCAAAACCTATTATTAAGGGATTTATTATGTGCATTTGTAGAGACTTGTCACTTAATAACACAACCTTTATAATTATTTTCTAAAGGTCCAGTTTTTAAAAAGATTCACAGTATTAATGAATATCTTATCAGCATCAGAAGGAAACCAATCGTGACTCATGTAGAGATACAACAAACAGGTGTCTTGGAGGCTGGGTAATTCCACAGTGCCTCTGACTGAATACTCCAATCAAATTAATGCAGAGATGCAACCGTGTTAGCTTCCCACCCCCACCCCGAATCTTTTAGGGAAGGAGTCAAGCATTTCTGCGAAGATCCACAGGCAGGTAAGCAGGTGATTCTACCACACTGGGAATGATTTGAACGTTTCCCTCGCACCAACAAAGAGCCAACACAGAAATCTATCCGCGCTGGAAGCGAGGCAAGAGCAAGCAGAGATGCAACAGGCAACCTCTCGCTGGAAGGTGGGCACCATGCAGCCCCAGTTTTTGAAATGGGTGTGGGGGAGAATTTAAAAAGGCAGGCACTAGGACCCTTCACTGTGGTGCACAGGTATTTTTTCGGAGTGAACCTGTCTGCAAGAACAGGTGGATCTCATTAGTCCAAACATAAGGGGATGAAAGGGAGAGAAAGGGAGGGGTGTGCGGGGGGCCTGGAAATCACATGTGTGGGTGGGGAAGGAAAAACTCAGTTGGGGGAGGGGGAGCGAGCCTGCGTATACCCGTCAAGGTATCGCACTCGAAGCCAGAGAACCCGCCCTCCTGGCCTCTCATCCTGACCCACTAAGTCCCCAAGGAACGGTGCCACTTGCTCTGTCACGAGGGGTAGGAGCTGGCTGAGCTCCCGTGGCCGTATGACCCACTCAGTACAGAAAAGGACTCGCGCAGGCAACCGACCAGGACCCTTTGGAAAGCTTGAAGGAGCACTGAGCACATCGCGGCGCAGTCTGCTTGAAGCTGGAGGCCAACGTTCCCTCTAATTTGTTCCTGTCCACAGAGGGGGGCAGCTCACACCCTGAGCAGAATAGAACTTCCGTGATCTTAACGGGCAGTGCAAGAAGACCCTGCGCGGCTCCGGACTGCTGCTGAGCGGGGCTTCCTGTGTCAATGAGCGGCCCCTCACCCGCACCGCTGAGAGGAAACACTGCTGGTGGCGGCCCTGGGATCAGTCAGTTCTGGAATATGGCTCAGTGGCAGAGCATCTACTTGGCATGCCAAAGGTCCCAGGTTCAATCCCTGGCATCTCCGGTTAAAAAGGACCAGGCAGCAGCTGATGGGAAAGACCTCCGCCCGAGGGCCTGGAGAGCCAGTCTGAGTAGACAAGACTGACCCGGATGGACTGAGGGTCTGATTCAGTGTAAGGTCATGGGACTGCAGCAAATGATACCAAAGAATTTGTGGGGGAGGGCTTGCCCCTGAAATCCAAGTGTGTCTGTGGCAGATTAAAGCCATGCAAAGGGCTGTGGATATGCTACAAGTCACAGAGAGCACCCTTTTGCATGAACACCAGAATTTTAAAAGACACCAAGATGCTAGCGCTCACGGACACATCAAAAGGCTTAAAAGCACGTGGTGGGGGAAAGGCCTTTTCTCAATCCTCCCAGACGTGCCCCCCCCCCCCCCCCGCAAAGCCACAGTTAGGGAGAGACGTCAAGGAAAGTGGATTGGGCTGGTGGGGTGGAGACTCTTACTTTTTTAAAATAAAATAAAATGTGGGGCATCAACAACCATTGATCCCTGGGCCTCTAGGATTCCTCACAAGTCTTCTTCAAAGACCCCCTTCCCTGCCTGGCCTCAAGAGGGGAGAGCCACGTGGGTCAGGCTCCTAACAGGTCTCCATTCCTGGAATATTCCCCCCCCCCCAATCAATGAATGCCAGATGTCTGGATCTGGAGCGCCGACTCCTCCAACTACCTCCGCTCCACCCAGTAAAATGAGTCTTCCAAAGGGCGCCCTGGAGAGGTGCCCCCTCCTTTTTAAAAAGCGCGGCTCCTCAGTACAGCTGCATTTCCCCAAACTCCGGGCCTCTCTTCCAAACGGGCTCCTGTGAAGCACTTCTCCAGCAAGTGTGCGCGTGGGGGGAGCATTTGCAAAATGCAGTGTTCGTTGGGAACAGATTACTGCCCACAGCCACCACCTCCGCCACCCAACATTCGAGCACTCATGGGCACAAAGACATGCTCCAAAGTGCATGGGACAAAATCTTGTCAGGTGAATGGATGGATGAATCAGTTTTCCCGCACAGCAAGTAGAAATAGGGGTGTTTTGCCCTAGGAACGTAAGAACATCAGAAGAGCGCTGCTGGATCAGACCAGTGGTCCATCTAGTACCATATCCTGTCTCGCACAATAGCCAACCAGCTCCTTTGGGCGGCCAACAACGGGGGATAGAGGCTGAGGCCGTCCCCTGGTATTGCCTCCTGGCTCTGGGATTCAGAGGCGCAGTGCCTCTGCATGTGGAGGTTCCCCTCAGCCACCATGGCTAGTAGCCATTGATAGACTGATCCTCCATGAATCTATCGAATCCCCTTTCAAAGCTGTTTATTCCTGTGGCCATCACGACATCCTCTGGCAGCCAATTCCACATCTGAATCACTCTCTGTGTAAAGTAGTCTTTCCTTTTGTCTTTTCCTCTCCTGGAAACTACTGCCCATCGGCTTCATCGGATGCCCTCGAGTTCTAATGTCTCTTTGTCAACCCTCTCCACCCCATGTATAATTTTGCCAACCTCTATTGCGTCCCCCCCCTTAGTTGTCTCTTTTCTCAAATGAAAGGAAGTCCGAGACTCTTCAGAACCTTCCCCTTAAGGAAGGGGCCCCAACCCCCTCACCGTCTTGGTTGCCCTCCTCTGCGCTTTCCCCAGTTCTGCAGTGTCCTTTTGGAGATACGGTGACCAGAACTGTATGTTGTTGTTCAGTCGCACAGTCGAGTCTGACTCTTCGCGACCCCATGGACCAGACGCGCCAGGCCTTCCGGTCTTCTGCCGTCCTCTGAAGTTTGCTCAATTTCATGTTAGTTGCATCTATGACACTGTCTAACCATCTCATCCTTTGCCATCCCCGTCTTCTTTGACCTTCAGTCTTTCCCAGTATCAGGGTCTTCTCCAGTGAGTGCTCCCTTCTCATTGGGTGGCCAAAGTCTTTGAGCTTCAGTTTCATTATCTGGCCTTCCAGGGAACAGTCAGGGTTGACTTCTTTTAGGATTGACTGATTTGATCTTCTTGCAGTCCAAGGGACTCTCAAGAGTCTTCTCCAGCACCATATACACTGTTCCAAATGAAGCCGCGCCATAGATCTATAGGGGGGCGTTACAATATCGGCCATTTTATTCTCAGTCCCTTTCCTAAAGGAGCTGCGGTGGCTCAAGTGGTTAAGACGCTGAACTGCAGGCTGCGGAAGGTCAGTAGTTCAGCAGTTCAGCAGTTCGAGACCCAGGTGCCGCAAGACGGGGTGAGCTCCTGTCTCTAGTTCCAGCTCCTGCCAACCTAGCAGTTCGAAAGCAAGAAATTGCAAGTAGATAAATAGGTACCACTTCGGTGGGAAGGTAACAGCGTTCCGTGCGCCTTGGTGTTTAGTCATGCCGGCCACATGACCACGGAAACATCTTTGGACAGCGCTGGCTCTTCGGCTTGGAAACGGAGATGAGCACCACAACCCTAGAGTCGGATTCGACTGGCTTTCGAGCGAGGGGAACCTTTACCTTTACCTTACCCTTTCCTAATCATCCCTAACACAGTGTTCGCCTTTTCCACCGCTGCAGCACGCTGGGTTGACGCTTTCACGGCGCTATCCGCTACAAACCCCAAGATCTTTTTCCTTCTCAGTCTCAGCAAGTTCAGACCCCCATTGGCCTATCTTTGAAGCTGGGATTCTTTTGTCCCAGTGTGCATCCCCTTACAACCTTCCGTGGGTTTGCAGACAGAATCCAAGGGGCGTCTTTAGCATGCCTGCTTGTAAGAAGGGGAGGGCAGGAGGTAGGTTACCCTCCAGCCCATCTGCCTTTCTTTCCTAGGGCAAACCCCTTTCGCTGGGTCTCTTGAGATTTTCCCACAAAGCACTGGGGCATCAGACTTCCTGAGGGCAGCAACAGTTTCAACCCCTCCCCCCTCAGCTGGTCCAGGGATGCTTCCCGCTTGGACTCCCTGCTTGGTGTCGTGGTTAAGTGCCCGGACTCTAGTCTGGGAGAACCTGGTTTGATTCCCCATTCTTCCACTTGCGCCTGGCTGGATGACCTTGGGCAAGCTGTAGTTCTGATAAGAGCTGTTCTTGAAAAACAGCAGTTCCTGTCAGAGCCCTCTCAGCCCTACCTACCTCGCAGGGTGTCTGTTGCGGGGAGGGGAAGGGAAAGGAGTTTGTAAGCTGCTCTGAGACTCCTTTGGGTAGTGGAAGACGGGGTATAAATCCAATATATTATTGTTGTTGTTGTTGTTGTTGTTATAATACAGCTGGTCCTGTCTTTGTTCAGCCCTCCCCAGGTGTGCCCAACAGCCCCCACAGCGGTTGCAAGCGCAAGCCCTAGAATGTGCCTTGGGTGCTGCCAGGCAGCTGTTTCTTATCACAATACACAGCTTGTGGAACTCACTGCCACAAGATGCGGAGACAGCCACCAGCTTTTAAAGGGGGGGGGAGAGCAAATTTACAGAGGACTCACATATTAAGGGTTGTTAGGCAAGATGGCTAAATGGAACCTCTATGTTCAGAGGTCGGCAGCTATGGAAGGAATACAGACAGGGACTACTGTCTCCAGGCGGGATGCAGTCGCAGCGCTGTGTTCCCTCTAAGCTGAGTCAGTGTGAGCTAGCTCACAGATTTTTAGCCCATTTTTGCCTTAGCTCAGGAAGGAGGGCTCCAGAGCCAACTAACTGATGCAGTAGCCAAATCGCTGGCTCACAACTTTCATGTCAGTAGCTCACAAAGTAGGATTTTTGCTCACAAGACTCCACAGCTTAGAGGGAGCACAGCATTTGTAGCCAAGCTGGACTACAGAGCACCAACTGGAGAAAGTCACCCATGGACCTGGTAGCCCCACACGGTGTACTTCTCATCCTCCACACGGTACAGCCCCACCACAAAGGGATATCAGTGCAGAGACTAGGAGCCCCCTCCCATTCGGTCACCCATCCACCTCATACCAAATACACCACATACCTATACTGCTGTCTGCTCCTCTCCTACGAGGGTTGTTGGGAAATGGGTAGTACTGAGAGCTGCCCTTCACCCCCGTCGGGGAGAGTGCGCTGGGACTCGAAATCCCTATTTCACTCGGAAGAAAGCCAGCCTGCAAAACAGACAACAAAAGGAATGTCAGGAGTTAAAAATGGGAAAAAGCCAGTCCTCCTGGGTAGAAACCTGATCCCGGTCCTGGCCCTCCAACAGCCATGGAGAAACATCAGGGTCTTCAGTTAATAAATATGGATATTATTGGCAATTTATATTTATGTATGATTGCATTTAATATATAAATATTGTTAATAACAAATGCTGATAATGGCTCAGTATTCCTGCAGTTCCCAACAATGGACATGCAAATCTGGCAGATGCGGATATTCTTCTTCAGTACATGGAGGTTCTGCCTAGGTAGCTGAATGGAACTTCCTGCAGCCACATGGGAACCTCCGCACTCAGGGCCCAGCAAGGTAGCCATGTATTATCATCACTGCAAAAACAGTGGGGCTGGCCTAAACTAAAGTTTTCCCCAACCTGGCGTTCTGTTTCCAAAAGCAGCCAAACCTGGCTATAGCTGCTGTCCACAAGTCTTACATTCAGTGCCCGTGATAGAATTCCTTCCCTTTTAAGCATTTTCAAACTGCCAGTGTCTTCCCAAGGTGTGCAGTTTTCAGGTGGTCATCCACAGTCAGGGGTCATTTCGTAGAAAAAGAGGTACAAGAGCTCATTAGCATAACTCATCAGCATATGCCACACCCCCTGACATCACCAGAAGTGTGTCAGAAGGCAACACCCACCGCTCAGGCTCCACTGGACTGTTTTGGATTGCTAGCTATGGGGGGGGGGGGATGTGCAGATCTGTCCTCGCAGAGGAGGGAGAGCTTGTACCTGAATAAAACTTGGTCTTAAAGGTGCCACTGGACTGTTTTGGGCCGGGGGGCCAGGGGGCTCTGCAGCTTACCTGGCTGTTTCTTGCTCTGACTGAGGGCTGCTGGGAGCAGGGGGTGGGGCTTCTTGCATGTGCCCGCCCCCTGGGCTCTTTACTGCCGGAGCTCTGCTCCTGTGTGCTCCTGCAGGAAATGACCCCTGTCTACAGTCATAAAGACCAGAAACATGGTTCAAACCGAACCTCAGAAAAGACACAAAGGTGCAGAATTCTACCACCAGAGCCGGCTGTGGTCGACAAAATTCAGGGCGCCCTTACATCCAATGCCAGGCTCTCCCTGCCACAACTTTGCACCCCGCAGAACTGACCTAACCTAGAGACAGACGCGGCCAGCCAACACCATCCCAGATTGCCCAAGTCTCTGACCGCTTACGCCTCCCCCCCAAAAAAACTTTCGATCCTTTCTCTACCATGCCTCTTTCTCTCCCGCTGGCAAACCAATCCCAATATTAACGCTCCGGGGCTTGCTGGCAGGTTTCCTTATTTTAAAATTAAATCCACTCTGGCATCGAGAGCCGGCCCTGCGCAGCTGTTTCTGAACTCAAAAAGAAAACATCCTGCGTTTAGGGAAGGCCGGGCGGCGCAAATCACAACAGGGCTGGTTTTCATCTTTGAACAACCTCCGCTCTCTCTTTCCTGGCGAAAAAAGAGAACCGGAAAGCTCCTGTGTGCAGGCGTCTCTTGTCTCAGAGGACCGCTCAGGTGAGGGGGAAGGAGGAAAAAAGGATATCTGTTTTGAAGTGTACCAAACAGAGGACCCCAAATGCTAAGTAAATGGAGCTGCGAAGCTGGACGTTTAGGGTTTATTATTTATTTATTTGACTTTTACCCCGCCCTCCCCGCCGAGGCAGGCTCAGGGCGGCTTACATAAGGAACCAATTAAAAAAACAATAATATCAATATAAAATACAGAGTAAAATTATTAAAAGCATTAACATAGCGATGGCAATGTAGCTATGGTAGTGCATTTAGAAACATACAATCAGCGGTACCTCCACTCTCGGCAGGCTCAGGCTGGCAGTAAAGTCGGCACAGGGCACAGATGGTAACATGCAGCTCCTTACCTGAATGCCTGACAGAAGAGCTCCATTTTCGCGGAACTGTGAGGTCCCGTGGGGCCCTTATTTCATCTGGAAGTTTATTCCAGTAAGTTGGAGCTGCTACAGAAAACGCCCTGGTCCTAGTTGATACCAGCCTGGTGTCCTTGGGGGGGGGGGGGGTGGTTTTGCAACCCTGACCGTAGTGCTCTCTGGGGAGCATATGGGGAAAGGTGGTCCCTCAGGTAGGTGGGTCCCTGACCACAAATTCCAATCTTGCCTCGCTAGCTGACCTTGGCTCACTCCCTCTCTGTCTGTGATAGGGCTACATTCTGCTGCTTTGGACAAACAGGTTGTCTAATTCCAGTTCCTGCCTCCCAACTGGGCCGGCCAATTCATTTATGTTTTTACGTTATTTATAGTCCGCCTTTCTCACATGGACCGAAGGCGGCTTACACAGAGTGAGTCAGAAGAAGAAGAGATTGGATTTATACCCCGCCCTTCACTACCCAAAGGTGTCTCAGAGCGGCTTACAAACTCCTTTCCCTTCCCCTCCCCACAACAGACACCCTTGTGAGGTAGGTGGGGCTGAGAGAGCTCTTGACAGAAACTGCTCTTTTTCAAGAACAGCTGTGCCAGAACTATGGCTTGCCCACGGGCATCCAGCCAGGTGCAAGTGGAGGAGTGGGGAATCAAACCCGGTTCTCCCAGATTAGAGTCCGCGCAATTAACCACTACACCAAAATGGGCCCCAAATTTTGGTTATAATATTGATCTTGACCATTGGTTGCAAATAGGGGAAAGAAATGTTAAAATAACAAAACTGGTTGCCTTTAAAGAGTCAGGACAGTCAACAAAATGGGATAACCAATAACTGATGCATTAAGATATTAGAAGACTGAGGCTTTGATCTTCCAGACCGGGGAATTTATTATAAAGCCTGTGCACTGACATGGATTAAAGAATGAATAAGAACTGAAAATACGAAATTGTTAAAATTGGAGGGACATGATTTAATCCTAGATGACATGCCTATCTCTGGTATTGAAAAGCGTGTAATCACAAATACTTTAAAAACCATTTGGTGAGGAAAGCATTGCTGTTAGTATGGGAAAGAATCGGGCATAAAATATATGTGAAGATCCCAAAATGGGTCTCTCCAGTGGAGGCATTTACTCAGCCTAGATTATCGGAGAAGAAAAAAGTACTTAGATATGAAGATTTATTAGGAAAGGAAGACAGGTTGAAGTCCAAAGACGAACTAGAGGAACAAGATATATATTTGGATTAGTGGACAAGAGTACAGCTAGACTCTAGATATGCTAAAGATAAACCTCAAGGGTTTGTTGTAGAACAATCGGAGTTTGACACACTTTTATATGAAACATGATAAATTGATTAAGAAATGCTACAGATAAAGATGGAGGACGAGGTGATTAAAGAATGTATGTTAAAATTGGGCCCCAAATTTTGGTTATAATATTGATCTTGACCATTGGTTGCAAATATGGGAAACAAATGTTAAAATAACAAAATCGGTTGCCTTTAAAGAGAATTTATATAGAATGTTTTATAGGTGGCATATAACACCAGATAAATTAGCCAGAATGTATCCTGCAATGTCTGATAAATGCTAGAAATGTAAGGCATGGGTGGGAAGTTATTTACAGTGGAACTGTAAAGAGGTGATGCTATATTGGAGAAGAGCTCATGAAATGTTACAGAAAATATGTTTGTTACCTCTACCATTTAAAACTGAAATGTTCCTGCTTAATATTATGCCTGATGTAAAAGACAAGAAAGTTAAATATCTAATTAATATACATAGTTATGGCAGCAAGAATTCTTTATGCGAAGCACTGGAAGAAAGCAGAGATACCAACGGAAAACGAACTTTTGACAAAAAAAAAATTGAAACAGCAGAAATGGATATACTGTCAAACCTGTTGAAGGACAGTAGCAAACAAAACGTGAGAAGCAATTTGACAGTATTTTATGAGTGGGTGGAAAGAAACTTCGAAGACCAAGAACAATGAATATATATAACATAAAATTTGGAGAGACTCCAACTTGAACTACGTAGAATTTGACTCTTGTCAGGAAACGTAAGAAAAGACTTTAACAATTTGACTAAGTGATACTAACTTTAGTAATTCTACAAAAAAAACCCCCGATTTGGAGAGACTCCAACTTGAACTACATGGAATTTGACTCTTGTCAGGAAACATAAGAAAAGACTTTAACAATTGGACTATGTGATACTAGCTTTAGTAATGCTACAAAAAAACCCGAATGGAAAACAAAGAACTAAGACTGAAAACTTGTAACAGCTATGATATAAATCTGATATAATTCTCCTATATGTCTTATCCCATACCCTGTACCCTTCTTACCCTTATATTTTCTTGTCCTATAATATGTTCAAATCCAATTTAAAAAAAGAAAGAAATGAGACTGGAAACCAGACCATAAGTGTTAGTATGATATATTAAAAGGTACAGAAATTACTTAATAGGATCCAGGCAGGTAGCCGTGTTGGTCTGAGGCAGCAGAGCAAAGGTGGAGTCCAGCGGCACCTTTAAGACCAACAAAGTTTAATTCCAGGTGTCCGCTTTTAATTCCAGGTGTCAGCTTTCGTGTGCATGCCGAATACCCAGGATTAAACTTTGTTGGTCTTAAAGGTGCCACTGGACTCAAAACTTTGTTCTATAACGGCATCCTGTGTACAATATGCTATATCCAGCGGAAAAGTCCTAACCATTTATCCAAGTAGGTTTGCAAAACCATTTTGCGCTGTGCGGCCTGTGCAGAAAAGCCCTCTTGAATAGTCCAGTTTTGTATAATCGGCAAATATCCACAATAGCCTTCCCATGGTGTTTTCCCTCCGTCCTCATAGCTGGTCTCCAGAAATACATTTCCATGGAACGTGGAAGCCACATTTAGCCATTGTCTACTATGGAGTTATCGCCTGATATTATACGGCCGTCAGATTGAAAGGTACACTTCTGCAAGACATGGATGTTCTATTTAATCATCACAGCCAAAGACCTATCCCATAGATTAACGGGAATTGCTCTTTGTGTACAAGCAGCCTGGCTGGATCAGAGAAAGGTAAGGTCCATGTAGGTCTAGCATCCAGCTTCACATGAGGGCCATAGAGAAGCCCCCGTCCAAGCTTATAAGCAGGGCACAGACACCGTAGTCTCCCCCAGGGTTGACCTGCTTATCTTCAGAGATCTGACAAGATCGGGCTCATCTGGGCTCCCCAGGTCAGGGCAAAATATCTGTTGCCTGCTGTTTCGACCCATACAGAGCAATGCAACGGCTGAGGAGGGGGGAAAGCAACAATTTGTAAAACCCAGAACAATCTTTCAAATGGATCAATAAACCCGGCACAAAACCAGCCCGGAAACCTTCATCGCAAACAGAACAGAGGGAGAGGGGCTACTCCATTCAGGTTCATCGGCTGGAAACAGGATACTGGATCAGGTGGGATGTCGTGTCCGTCCAACAAGGCAGAATGGAGCCTCTCCCTACAGAAGACGCCCACAACATCTTTGGGAGCGGAGGGCTGTTGGCTTCGCCTGAGACCTGCCTGTAAACCTCCCAGAAGCCCCTGGGTGGCATATGGCGGGAAACTGGCCAAAGTTGGTCACTTTGGCCCCGTAGTCCCGACCGCCACACTCCTTCTCTCACCTGATTGAGGGCCGGCATGCCTGCGTCTCTCCCAAACGTGTAGGAGCTTCTTTCGGTACCTTTCCCTAAAAGTTGGGAGGGGGGAAACAAAAGACAGAACAGAGAGTCAGTGAGTGCTCCGCACTGCAAGGTTGTCGGGAACCATGTGGAATGCCTCCCCGGGACTTGGGCAGAGCTTCCCAAGGGACAGCAACGGAGACTTTCAATACATCATATTGGATTGGATGCAATGACTCCCCTCCCGCTCAGGGAGG